AAAAAAAAAAAAAAACCATCCGAACTACTGTGATGTGAAGTATAAGGACATGATCATTGAACTATTGTGCCTTGGTCAGAATTTTTTTTTTTAAAAAAGTTATAATTCTGGTACTCAAGGGCATTGTCAATATGCAAGACCTTTATAGGACAAGAAAATTGTGTGAATTATTCTAGCAAATTGAATATATATATATTAGGCAACTCAAAACGATGTTTAAGAAAATAGATCCAGGTAAAACGAGAAAAATCATCAACAAAAATAACAAAGTACCGAAAACTATTCATAGAAGCAACCAGAGAATGACCCCAAATATCAGAATGTACCAATCCAAAAGGTTTATCAGCAGTTGACAAATTCTCAGAAAAAGAAAGAGCCGAGTGTTTTCCAAGTTTACAATGAAAACAACTAAAAGACTCAAAATGACTTGGACCTAAAAGACTTTTATTATATAAAGAATGAATTTTATTTGACGACGCATGTCCAATACGAAGATGCCACTCAAAGTAGTTTAACTTAATGTCGGTGACAGGAGCAGAAAATGAGGAAGAACGAGGAATATGAAGAGACTCAAACTCAAATAACTGGCCCATCTTGCGACCCGTCCCGAGAAGCCGACTCGTCTGTGTATCCTGAACCTGAACACCAGAAGATGAAAATATAACATTAAGGCCTTGTCCAACCAATTGACCAGCAAAAATAAGATTCAAGGCCAAGTCATGAATGTAATATGTGTCGGGAAGGTGTAAAGAAGGTGAAGAAACCAGACCAGTGTGAGTAATATTCATATGGGCACCATTGGCAGTACGTATAAAAGGTAAGGAAGTTACAGAAGACGAGGAAGACAAAAATTGTGGACTAGAGGTCATGTGAGGGTTGCATGTTGTAGCAGACATAGCAGAATCGGAATGGATAACCTTTTTTAGAATAGTTTCTATGTCTTGAAGAGTATATGACGAGTTGAGGCTCATGAGTGACATCCGCTGTAACTGGAGAAGGGGTCGATGAAGATGACCCACGAGACCCTCGAAATCGAGAAAATGAACCTTCCAAATTGTGAGTTGACTGGTCAATTCGAAGCAATAAGGAAAAGAAATGGAGAAGGAATATATTAATGCTTGGATTGAGAATATTTGGTTGATGTTGGAATCATGGAAAAAAAAATGGTGTGGTTTGAAATGGAGGCTTGTTTTTTAAGCTTTCATGATTTTAGAGAAAGGGAAAATTGGAATAGTATATGGGTTCTTGAGAAATACAAAATCTTCTAACAATTTTGCTTCAATATGGACATATATTTATTTATTACTCCCTCCTATTTTTATTATTTGTTACTTTGGTTTAATGGATCATTGATTAAATAAATGTCGTTTTGACTATTTTTTTCATATTTTTCAATTTTTAACCCTTCATCAATACACATTGTCTCTTCATATCCCATTTCATAGTTTCTCATAACATCCACTAAATAGGGTTAATACTGACAAGAGATTGGCGTGTTGCTTCTCAAAACGATAAATAATAAAAATAGGAGAGAGTAATTGATAACATCGATATCTCCCAAGATTTTTAACATGGACAGAGACAAAAATATTTTAACGCCCACTTTTGATTTAAAGAAAATAGTAATATTTTCAAGAAAATTTAAACTTTTCAAAAATCTGAAAATCCTTTTTATTGGGTCGTTACTCATAAAATTCTTTCTTTTCTGAAAACTCTAACTCTCAAATTGACTGGAGACATGCAACAACTCAAAAATGCATTAAGTCTCAAAATACTAAACTTCATAATCCTCAAATCAAGCATGCAATCATCTTAAAAATCCAATGTCTCGACATGGGAAATGTAATACTGAACAT